GGTATGAATTGTCAATTTTTTGTTTTTTAAATGAGATGTTCTCAGCTATTCCAGGTTTGATATCTCTCATATCTTCATCATCAATAGCTTTGCTTCCATCTGAATGCTGATTTGTTTCTGTAATGCATTCTGCTTCTGCAACTGCATTTAATGATTTGCAATTATTTTCACTTACATTCTGTCTATTAGTATCACAATCCTTAATTGTTACTTGAAGTAAATGTCTTGGAGTCTGTGATTTGTTGAACACTTCTGGATCTTGAGACTGAATAAATTCCCCACCATTGGTTAAATCTGGGGTTATTATCTCTGTTTCATCATCATGTGGGCAAGAATATTTTGGGATAGAGAATTTTAGTTGCTCTCTGAAACTGTTAACAGAAATGCCATCAAACTTGGGTTTCTCCTTTACATTTTCACTGTGGCCAGAATTGTGATTTTCTGCTTTGCCATCAAGATTCTTGCCAGGTGATATGACTGTAACTTCAAGGGACACATCTAGGTTCTTATCAATATTTCCAATTTTGTTCATAAGTGATTTTGTGTGGGGACATTTTTCTGTAGCATCTATGGATGGCCACGTATGGTCCATTTGCAAATTTACTCTGGAATCATTTTGATAATCTTGTTTACAATCAACTGACTTGAGCACTTTACATTCCTGATTCTGCTTTTCACAAGTATCTATATCTATGCCATAACATGAAAGTTGAGGGTCCTGGGTACCTTTTTCTATACTCAATTTGCAGATCACAATATCTTCATTAGTGGGAACTGAAATATGTGCTTTTGACCCATAATGTACACCAGGTAAATATAAATCATCTTCATTTTGTTCTTGAGGATTGTGTATCTTGATATATTCACTTCTACATTCTTTCTCTGAGCTAACATTTTGTTGATGAGGGTTAAAAGTATTTGCAGATTCACTGTTATTAAGAGCTGAGCAAATAATTTGCTGAGATGAGTTGAATGCATCTGGATATGCACTATCCTCATCATCTGAGCTGATAATCTGTTGTCGATTACAACTAGTTGTGATATCTGCATTATTATCTAAATTGTCTGTCTCTTGACCTAAAGGATTTAAAACATTGACTATTTCCATGCAATCCATGTCCTTTATGCTCACATTTATCTGGGAAGAATTACCAATCTTAAAATCTGCATACCTGTCCTTTTGTCCCAACTTAAATGATTCATCAGTGTGTCCTGTTTTTAAAAGACTTTGTACTTCATTGTCTCTTTTCACTCCATCCTCTGTTCTTGCGATGAAATTATCTAAGACAAAATTAGAGTTACTTCTCTCTCCACTCTGGAAACATTTTTCTATGATTGATTCCTTGATGCTCCCAGTGATGGTTACTGGTATACTTGCTCTTTGGTAATCGTCAGAATTTACCTCTCCACCTTCACAATCTGATAGCTTTCCTTCGTCACTATGTATCATGTTAATTTCTTCACTGTTGTTATCATTATTAACATCTGTAGATTTCATTATCTCCACCCAGGAACAATTGTCCTGTTGATCAAGAATAAATGTATTCATATCATTTACAGAAAAGGCTGAATCAGATGGTAAATGCTCTATTGATTCAACTTGTGAACTATTCTCCAAAACCAATTCATCCACTGATGATTTTGCACCTGACTTTTCATCAGCAGTGTTACGTTGTAACTCTTCATGCACATATACTTCAGTCTGCTCTGATGACTGTGAATCTATTTGGTCTAGTGTCTGAGTCCTTAAAGTACTTTGGGATTGTGAGTAATCATAATGGACAGCAATGGGCGAAGCAAAATGAACTCTTTCTCCAACAATACCTTGACCAGAATCAACCATTTTGAGACATATCTTAAAACCACCATCTGCAAGCTCATCAGCACTAATATTTTTGGTTCGTTCTCTGTTCTCATTCTCAGTGTGTGTAGGGCTTAAATCAATTGCCTTTACAAATTCAAGCTTGTCATAGTCAGTGGTTGGTTCTTCACAGCTAGGAATCTCATCATGGCTGGAATTTTCATTGTATTGCTCATTTACCTCAGTGTCCCTGTTGCTCATGCTGTCCAAATTTTCAGGTGCTCTCTCAATAAGTTGTTTAGGACCATTCAGTTTCACTTCTGAAGTTTTAACTGTAATGAAAAAAAACCCCATCATCTACAAAGGATGTGTTTATTAATAACCTCCACATAATACAGGATATATTAGGTCAAATAAACTCTTAAATAATAATAATAATAATAAGAGAAGCACCATAATAACAAGAAATATTTCCAGATGACAAAAATCACACTGCCCTGATAACAAAATTAAGGAATGGTTTGAGGCATTAAATTTCAAAACTTCCAAGTAAAATGGACCATTTTCCATGTAATTTTAAAAAGGAAAGATACAGCTGGAACTTGACTTAATTTTGTTAATAACAAAGTAGTTCATACCAATCTAATTATTAATTGTAATTTTTCCAAAACAAATTGGCAGATCATTGGCACCAAACATAACATGTCATATGAGCTGCAAAATTACTTCATTTCAAGCAAAAATGTTTTTGAAGTATGCTTTTCAAATACAATTTCCTTCTGCAATCATAAGAAGATAAAAGGTAAAAGTTTTTAAAGAAATAAAGTTTACTTATTTAAATATATTTTTCCTAGATATATCTGACGAACAAAAGCTGTGGAGCTGATCTAACCTGACACATTTTGTGGTAATTAGCATATTCTTTTAATTTTAATGTAAATTGTTGTAAAAATACAGTATTTTCTTTATCAATGTTAGATTTACCCATTTGTGAGTGATTTGAGAAACTAGGTTTATCATTATCTGCCATTATACCTCATATACAATGAGTAATATGACTAGGATCAAATAACATTAGTTGTAGCCTCCAGATAATGCCTAAATTCCATCTGATGTCTGCAGACTAAAAAGGACAAAAGTAACAATATACATGTAGCTCCATAATTACAACTTCCAAGGCAATTACTAGATGAAAAAAATGGAAATACAGAATTATGGGGTTGAGGCATATATGTGTGTGTGTATATATATATACACAGGAAATGTTACTCTAATATAAATGTTGCTGAGAGTAAGTACCTGTAGCAATAACCAATAAAATTGTAATTATGATCATTCCTACTTAACCGTATTCATATTTTTAAACTGCATTCCACAAAGGTCTTAAAAATTGACTAGATTATTTGTTTGCTAAATATTTAGTAATTACTTTTTTAATCATGTAGATCTGACAGGTACCAAAACAGTTCATGTTTTGGTGACCTTAGATTTCCTGGTGTTATGACTCTAAACTAAATAACATAAGAAGCAAAACCAACAAGTTTTGTGAAACTTAACAAATAATTTAATTATCAAAGATATAAATGAAAACATTAGGGGAACATATACTATTATGGCATGAATCCAAAAATAATCCTGATAAAGTTCTAAGAAAATCCAAATGAATGAAAAATCCATATAAATTTCAAAACAGGAAATGTACTGGTCCACCATGAAAAATATGATATCATCCAGAAATCCTTTGAATAATTCACAATTATTCCAGAGTAATATTAGAGTCCAAAATAATGATCAATTTTTATTTCTGCTGAACAATTCAAAAAACATTTTTCCTCTACAATATTATCTAAGTGCAACATAAAACAGGTCTGCAGACTTACAGGATGAGTCCAAAATCAGAACAAATCTGATTGCTCTTATACACCTTCTATTATGACTACATTTCACAACATGATGGATCTTACTACTCAATTTATCTCAAAATTGCCTATTAGTGTGACCTAGCTCAGTCAATGGGATGATACAGAATTTTTCCAGTCAATGAGAAACTAACCCAAAGTCATCAAAGTCTTATTATTAAGATTAATATCAGTAACTGTCAACACATAGTTAAGCATCAATTTATAGATCCATTATGTTCTTAACTGACTCAAGTCAATTAGGCAAAATCTAACTAAAGATATTAAATTTACTGTCATCAATACAAATTATAAAAATTTGATAAAATCACATACCAGTGGTTTTACAAAAAAATATGGATATAAATAACACTTTTCCAATTATTTTGAGTAACCCATCACACAAAGAGTTGCATTTTTTGTTAGAGAGCACTACCATTAGATCATGAAGAGTAATATTACTGGTTTATCTTAAAAATGAAAAGATCAAGACATAACATGAGGGTTTCATATCTCATTATGTTGGAGATCTTGTGTCAAATGTAGCTTGCAATTATGGTTCACACATACTGTGTCTAATTCAAAATTAAAATGTTGTATGGTAATAAGTTTAAGGAGTCAATGGGAGTATTTGTAGTTTTTTTTCATTACTTGAAGGAGTCAATGGGAGTATTTGTAGTTTTTTCATTACTTGTGTCTCTTTTTGAGCCCTGGGAGGACAAGTAGCAAAAGCACTTGCCTTTACTGATCATGGTCATCTTACCTGTGTCTGTGTGGGTTTGAGTCTCAGGCTCAACCATTGTGGGTATATAAGAAAGCTTGCCAGTAGTTTCCAGTGTGTCATGGTTCTTACTTGGGTGTTCACAGTTTCTTCCTCATATATAACCTATCATGCAAATAGTGTTAAACCTAAATATTAACAAGATGTCTCTTTTCAGTGATGATTTTTCAGTCACAATTTGCAACCACGGATGTATCAATGTTTCAAAATTAGGCTTACCATCTACCTTAAAGATTGCATATTGATGTTGACAACATAAAATATTCTATAAATCCTATTTTTTTAAACACCAACTTTATTATATTATTTCCTGTTTAAGTCTAATTTTTAAATACTAAAATTAATCAAATTTTCCCATATATGATGCACAATAATCACTATATTGTGCAGAGGTCTATGGTGAATTTGCAAAGAAATGGATATGGGAATATAGAAATGAAGTGAATCCAAACAATTCCTACTTGTTTGTTTGAAAGCTAAATGCCTTTCCTAAGGACACATAGAGGCAGCTAATCTGGGATGGCTTGGGTGGTTTTTAAACCCATGACCCTTGATTACAAGTCTGATGCTCTACCAACTGACCTACCATAGCTCCCAAAATTTTTAACTGAGCAACTTCTTTGTAGATGGTGTTAATTTCTTTGCAATAATCTATATTTTAATTTAAAGAACAAAAAATGGTGAGCCAAATTCTACATTCACTGTACAATTGTGTTGTTTCAAACCCACATAACTCTTGTTTTATGATCTTAAACTAAGCAACTAAAATGAGTCACAATCAAGAAGATTGTAACATTCAACAAATAATTAAATTCTCTAGAATACAAATGAGAATTTAACAAGAACTAACAGTATTGTGAATTAAATCCCAAATAGTCCTAAAAGTTCTATCACAAATCCAAATGTGTGAGGTCCCTATTGAAATCCAATGGTATTCCAAATAAATTCCAATAATGAATGTGCTGAAGTGCCTGTAAGCGTGAATATGCTAATGTGTCAATGGCCTGGAATGTGGCACTGTGCTAATAGTCTTTTGATATATAACAATAATATAACCCAAAATGTCCTTGGCTGAATTCACTAAAATTATAAAGAAATGTTTTAGTCCAAGAATATTATTAAGCACATTGTAATTCCAGTGAATAATAACTGGAATAAATAAATCCACCCAAATTAAAAACCGATGAAAAGAATAAGACTAATTCTGCTTCAGAAGTTAAGATAACAATGAATACTCTTAATGTAAACAAATTTATATACCCCTCCACTTGACCTAGGTCACAGTTACCATCTTCTATAAATACTCTGTCAACTTAATGGGAAATTTGCTTTCTGGATGTTTTTAAGGTCAGAATCAAGACTGTATCTTTAACTCATCTGAAGTAAACATGTTTTCAAATAATAATGGTCTGGATATTTAATATGTAATCATAAAAAAATATTAGCTATGTATCATGTTCTTTACAAAAACAATGTCACTAGTCAGGTAGACCATTAACTTGATTTTGGACTAAGTTTAGTTACAACATACAGATTTACATAACACATTATCAAGGAGTAAGACCAACAAACAATACAAATAAATAAATAAATACATAACACTTGTACTAGTATATCCTTGGCCTTTTCAGAGAAAGAATCAAATAATTTATGTGACCTTCAGTGATAACACAAAATAATAATTGGTTATCCTTTAATGTTTTTTTACTACTGCCAGACATAATAAAAATTTTGGCTTAGCTCTCAGAATGGCATGAAATTCCTCATTTCTGAAATAAAAAGATAAGTCACTCACTTGTAATTGTTTAGATTCAAGCATAAAAGGTTTAAATACTTTGAACTTAATATTGCAGACCAAATATCTTTTGATAAATTTCACAGTATTTCTGTTACAGGTATTAAATATCCAAATGTCATTGATTGAATTCACAGTATTTCTGTGATGACTTATTCCAATTAATCTGAAATATATTGAGTACAGTAATTTCCAAGAACGACTAAATTAAATAAATGAATTCCTCTAATAGGACTGAATAACTTCCAAGACTGGTGGTACTACTATAAATACCTAATTCTACATAACAATTCTATTATATAGATTACTAAAATTCAATACTGAAACATAAAGATGGTTTCATTACTAATTTACACTGTACATCAAAACCATAAACAGTCAGATGGGTCATACTAGGTAATGAGAAGTTCAAAGGTCAGCCTAGCCTTTCAAATAAAAAAACACAACCTCAATTCACATCATGTGCTGTTTACCTTGATTTAACTTGAAAACCTAACCTTAAAACATCATGAATTGATCCTGTGAAGAATTGGTTGTGTGTTATGGTTGGTTATGGTGGGGTGCTCCCTATTTTAGAAGTCCAACCCAGGCTTGATTTTGCTTGGAAGTTAAATTAGTGAAAGATAGATGTAAAGCTACAAGCTCCCAGTCAGCAATGCTGACAGTTAGATGGTTGAATATACAAAAAAGAGTGATATTCAATAAAAAAACAATGTACTAATAATTTAATAGTCAAATGATTGAAATTTCCCACATACACTCCTTCCACTAGACTCTTTAATAGCCTAATGCATCACTTGATTGGTAGTGTGAGATAGATTACCACATGTCCTTGTATTCCACTCATCTGTGTATTCTTTTCTCCTATTTTTCCCAATTCCTTTTCCTTTTCCTTCCTGACTTATTCAAAAAATTTTCCTCCTCCTTGACTTCTTTGTACTTCTCCTCCTCCTCCACTTCTCTATACTCCATCTCCTCTTTCTCCTCCAGACTCCTTTTCCTCCTCCACCTTCTATTCACCTTCTCTCAACCTCTTAGACTTTTGTCAACTCTGCGTGTTCTGCTAGTCTCATTTCTGTCTCCCTTCTTGGAGACTCGAGACTCAACTTAACTGGAAGTTCTGTCCCCTAAAATGCTTCCTTTTTGAAGCTTTGTCTTTCCTTAGAATCTGCTTCTAGGTTTAATGCCAAATTATGAGCGGCTTTCTTGGAGTAACCCTATTTGCTCAGCAATCATCCCATGAGAAACTAACTTTTTGCTTATGAGTTATGAAAGTTATAATTCGGATCTATATTGTAATCACACCCTCTATCTCAATTTCGATTGGATGTCACTGTGAACTGATCCAATCAAACTTAGCCGACAATGTCCATCTCAATGTCTGTGGGGATGGATGAGAATATGCCTTGTTCTTCCCATAGTTTTCCTTTTGATTTTATAACTAAGCTGCAACACATAGGAATGAAGTGCTGCAATCTATCCAGTTGCTGACTTCAAGATTTCACTCCTCTGGCAGGTCATCATAACCTTGCATAAGAGAGTAATACTAGCCCGAGGCTATGTTCAGACATTAAACACATGATCATGGTAATTAAACATGACTTAATAACTGGGGCTTAGCAAACGTGACAGATATTACACACTATTGCAAGAATAACTCAACTTCTATGATTGCAAAATTCTGATCAATGGGGAAATAATAATTTAAAATAATATTGAATAAATAACTACTACTAAATCAGGGGTCAAGCTAGACTTGATCTATTTCTTGGTATGTTTTTAACAGTTTTAAGCAATGCCTTATTTTCAAGTTGAAAAATTATATTCATACCCATTCTATTCATACTTAGTATATATGTGTGTTTGAATTGAAGTAAATGCAGTGTTGTATTTTGGCTGTATGACTTAAAAAGCACATCTGAAGCTATACATTACAATTAATGTTCACTGATAGAAGTAACAAGATTAGAGTCTTGTAACTGCAAGTTGGTAAAAATGCTTAATAAACTACCACTTAATTATTTTATTTACTTAAGTTTTGTGTATAATTGCAGTCAAAAAATCTAGCATTCTTTTGAAACAACCCCTATTACAGGTACATAGGAATTAATACACAAGTGACTTCAAAACATACTGTTCGTCCTGATTTCATTGTTCCCGATAAAACAATACTGTAAATTTTCATAGCCAACGCACTGAAGCACTGAAGTCGATATATAACTAAACTGGACACTTTTTTCCCACAACCGTAAATCCAAGAATTGGTCTTGCACAGAGCAAGTGCAACTATTTTTAGATGGAGGGTTTTTCTCAAACTACACACTTTCACGCTTCGTTACAAAAATCCATTAAAAGTTCTGCATATTTATGCTTTGTCTAACTACTGGTAATAATGATATCCATTGGTTAAATATTTTTTTGCTTCATTACTATATATATATATATATATATATATATATATATATATATATATATATATATATATATATATATATATATATATATATATATATAGATGCAATAAACTGACGACGAACAGTACGAAACTAGTAACTAACTAGCCTTAGGCTAGTTAGTTACTAGTTTCGTACTGTTCGTCGTCAGTTTATTGCATCTATTTTAATTAATCCCTGACAAACGTGATCCCTTGGTGGATCCAGTACGCTGGAGAGGGTTGTTATTCGCCATATGATTTGTATTCTTTATATATATATATATATATATATATATATATATATATATATATATCTATATATATATATATATATATATATATATATATATATATATATCGTATTTTTCAGTTTAATGTAGTGGTATATCATATACACCAGCGATGTCTGCCATTCAAATTTCATTTATGGTTTCAAACTGATTTTATGCAGAAAATACACAAATACGGCCGTTAAAATCTCCATTTATTAAAAACAGGATATAAATTAGAAAACGCTCTTCACCGATCATATTTTCAAAAGCAAATTACTATTTGTATATTGATGTTTAAATTTCGAAACAGAATTTTGTATTTTGTCATCATAGCACAGTAGGCCCTAGACCAACAAGTAGGTCTCTGCTTTTTTTTTTTATATCAGATATATATATATATATATATATATATATATATATATATATATATATATATATATATATATATATATATATATATATATATGTATGTATGTATGTATGTATGTATGTATGTATGTATGTATGACTGTTGGTCATATATATATATATATATATATATATATATATATATATATATATATATATATATATATATATATATATATATATATATATATATATATATATAAAAAAAAGCAGAGACCTACTTGTTGGTCTAAGTAGGCCCAACTTCATGAAATTAAACAATGATATCTTGCTCCGGAAAGGGTTAGTAGTCAGTTAGTTATTAAAACTTGCACGTAAATGTGCAATAATTTCTTCGTCGCTATAAGCTGATTGGTAGAAACACCACATAAATACATTTGGCGTCGGGTTACCACAGTGCCAGAACTTACTGGCTACAGCGAGATGGCATCTCAAAGTCATAATCTACAGTCATATTACGTCTGAAAAATCAGAGGGCGAAGTCGTTTTCGCTTTTCTAAAAGAAAAAGGCGAAGTTTACGCTTTTCAGGCGACTTTTTCGCCCACTTCGCCTGGTAGCGTGACCCCTGAAATTTAATCAGACAGTAACAGTAAATATAGTCATGAATGATAATTGTTACAGATATCTGTATTATATATTATTGTTTATATAGTTTTATTTAAGTCTTTTCAGTTTATGACATT